CAATTTGTGTTCTGTTTGAAGTAGTATAGGGTGGAATTGAGCTATATGAAGCAAAGATTTTAGGATAATTAAGATGAATAAAGAGAATAGTAGTAAATTCCTTAAGTAATGCAATAAAAGTTAAGTGAATTAATTCAAATGGAATAGAAAAGGATTTATCTATAGATGGATTATTTTCGTATATGAGGTCTGTTAAAAACTTAGAACGAAGTTCAGCTAAAGTTTTAACTAGATACATATAGTTAAACTTGGATACTGGTTTGCCTTCAGTTGCTTGTTTGGTGATTTTACCAGGATATATATTAATAAGATGTAGTTTAATAAAGTTAAGAATTTGTGAAACTAGTTTATTGTCAAAACGAATATGTTGTTTCATATTTTCAGTTATTGGATATTTTTTGAACTAATCAAGATCATTAGAAGTATCTCTAATAATTTGTTTCTATTTTTGTTTTTGTCGTTTTGTAGATTGTTAAAAATTAGAATTTTTAGAAAAGATTGAATTATAAAGTTGAATTTTGTCTTTTGCTGACATAGTACTAAGTCTATAAAGAATAACAATTTTTTTGTGATAGTTCAATATTTGGAATGTTGGATATGCAGGATTAGTAAATTAGAGAGCCTTTGAAAATACATGCTACTGTATAGTCTGGTGCGTGATTATATTGGTTATCTGTAAAAACACATTGAATGTTTTTGACTTTACAAAGGAAGCAGATATAATAGTATTGGAAGTGGGCAATTATAGTTATAGGAGCTGGATTTGTTTAGAAGTTTGAAAAAAGAAGACGTGCTGAGAAGAAAAAAGAAAAAGAAATTGAAGGTTGTGTTTGGTCTATTAATTTAGAAATTGGAGAAGCAGGTAGTTCATCTGATCGTTTAAAGCTTTGTGCAGAGATAGTAGTTCTAATTTGAGTTTAAATTGGGTTTGGAGATTGACTAATAGTTATTGAATGAGTAATTTTGTAGTGTTTAGAAGTAAAGCTTATATAAAACTTGTTACAAAAGCAGGTTGTGATAACAGATTGAAGAGGAACTTTAAAGTAGTGATGTTGTTTTTTCTCATCACAAATATCAGGTTTAGCAGAGACTGGCAAGACACATAATGCTTAAGGTTTATTTTCTTGAAGTCCAACTCCATACCTGTCTTTATATTTAGAATAATAGTAGTCAATATCATAGGAATCTGGTTCCTAAGAGTCAGTTAAAGTAGGCATTTTTGGGGTTAATTTTTAAAATTAGGATGTGACAAATAAGAAGTGTAATGACTAAGAGAGTGTGACAAATAAGTGATGTGCCAAATAATGGGGTGTGATGTTTAAGGTAACACCCAATGTGACACCTAAGTGATTGATATAATTACCACATAACAAGAGTTGTGTAATTTAGTTAAAACTAAATTAGTAAAAATTAAAAATAGATAAAACAAAGTTAGAATTATATAAATAGATTAATAATATTGATTAGTAATTTAGATCTGCAGGTCTGGGGCATCTTAGAGAACCAAAATTCCCCCCAAAAAATAAAAAAAATTTTTTGCAAAAGTAAAATATAGTTTCCAAGAGAGTTTTGAAGTATTTTAACTATATAATTGTCAGTTTTAAACTATTTATAATTTATAATATAAAAAAAAAAAAAAAGAATAAGCTGAACAAGTTTGTTCTATATAACAACTATGATTTACTTAATAAACTTTGAGTTTTTGCAAAGAGAAGAAAATTACAAAATTTAGTTATATTCTAGTAATAAAAGCCTTTGAGGATATAAAACTGGGCCACTTATATATAAAATTCTGTTATGAACAATGTTACTTAGGCAGCCAAAGTAGGTTTACTTAATAAAAAAAAAGAGAAAAGAGTAATTATGTTTAGAGAAAATTTGGTACAAGTGATCATTGAGAAGAGTTAATGATTTGCATTTAAAAAAAAAATCCTATTTGCCTTTTGCAAAACCAAATATTAATTAAACTAATATTACAAAATAATTTTCAAAGTAAAATATTATTTAAAATATTTATATATATCTTTTTGTCAATCTGTATGAAACTTAAATCTCTAAAAAAAATTTAATAATACAACAATTTTATATATTTAAAAAAATATATTAAATTTAATAAAATAAATAATTACATAAATATATACATCAATAATATAAAAACTATTAATTATAAATTTATAAACAATCTAAGTATAATTAAAATTTTATACTAACTACACAACTATCTATTAATTCATAAAAAAATTTACATCTAAATAGCTAATTTTTACAAATCTATATAAACTCTCATAAAAATCAATCTTAAACAATAACAATGCTGTGCTTCTGCAACACTATTGTAAAAATTAATCAAGTTCAACAATATATAAATGAAAATATTAGTTCAACTATTGTATGGGCTATTGGCACTTACCTAGTTAAACAAAAAGATAATAATATTAAAATAGTCATGCTTATACTAATAGATTCCAATAATAGAGATCCTGATAGTCAAGCAATTTTCAAAAAAAATAAATACTATGCTGTTAATAAAAAACTTATTTCTGAATACTACTATGGTATTAAAAGACCAAAAGTATATATTATATATAATATAATAAAATAATATAAAATAAATATATATATAATATAATATAATATATAAAATAAAATAAACAATATAATATATTATATTATATTATATTATATACTTATTTATACTTATACTTTAACTATAATATTTATTGAATTCAGATAACAGTATTAACATCAACACATATTACTATTGATAAAGTAACCAACTCAAACAATTGTCTACTAAATGCTTTTTTAGTTTGTATTATTCAAAATACTTCTGAAAAATTAAAGAACAACACAAAATGCTGTGGTTAAAACTTTAGTTAATGACTACAACTCAAGAATATAACTTCATAGTCACTATTATCTATCTGTACTTTAATTCTAGATTCAAATGATTTAAAAACTCTATTCATTCTAATAAATCTATACTTTTTATTGTTGGCCAACTAGAAATTATCCAAAAATGAATTCTATATATATGTAAAAAACATCTTATTTATTAACATCCAAGTATTAATTAAAAAATGAATTTTATACTCTAATGATTTCTGAGTTTCACTATTATCATCCAATCCAACATGATCTAAGCTTTTAGTTGCACACTAAAGTATCAATAAAGAATCTAAAAAAAATCATAAAGATTAAACCACAATGAACACATCAAACATGAATATAGTAGACCTCCATATCTCTAATACATTATCATCAAATTATCAACAAACAAAATGAAAAAAATAAAAATGATAATAATAAAGATAAATTACAAAAGAATCAAGAAATTGCTAAAACTACTCTTAAAAAGACATCCAACAAACCAAAAACAAATAACAGCAAGTACAAAGAAAATGAAAGCTACAATTAACTAGAAGAATATAGCTATAACAAAAGAAATAATAGAAAAGAACAAAACATATATAAGATTAGACAAACATATAACTTTAAAAATATAAATATTATAAGTGATAATGAAAATAATAAAAAAGTAAACACATTCAGTTAAACATTAAATACTAGCTTATTTAGCTTTATTAAATATCTCTTTAGCTTTCTTATCATTACCTATTTTAAAAATTATTATTACTATTTTATGCAAAAACCAATTTATCTTTTTATAAATATAAATAAAGTAAATATACAAATATTATTAAATATATAAATATTACTAAAAATATTATGTATCAAAAACATTTCAAACATCAACATAATTCTAATAAACTAAACTGTATATAAAACATAATCATTACAAAAACCTTACTAAAAAATTCAAAACCAAAATATGAATATTAAATTTTATCTAATCAACACAACTCAATAACAAAAAAAACAAACTATAATTTTAATTACAATAATAACTCAAAAACCAACTACAGTAAAACCTTCATAAATACACACTTTGAGATCCAAACTTTGAAAGATTTAATCAAAAAACGATAAAAAGATAAATTTATAGAAATAATGTTTATATTTAGACCCAAATTCAAGTGTGCATTTAGAGAGTGTGTGTACTTATAGAGAGTGCACTAATAAAGATTTACTATACTAACAACTACTAGAGATAGGTATATGCATAATCTTATATATAATATACAGGATTTTTTTTTGATCTTATATGAGATATTTATTTTTTTTTTTTTTATTTTTTTTTTTAACCTTAGGCAGTCACGCTAGTACTTTATTAATATTCTAGTAATTACTACAATTACATCAATGTTTAACAACTAAGTCTAGCATCATCTGGCTACCCTAATAGTGCCTAAGTGCAGACCTGCCACATTACTTCAAGCAGAAGTAAATCGCTCATCAGACTACTTAAAGTCCATAATGAAAGGGTCTTCACCCTTTCATGACAAGCTTCAATATTGTCTTCCTAACTTCATCTTTGATTCATTTTTTCCTCTCTTTTAATTATCGAGCAAGAGGATTCTATAATCCTTGTCTAAAGAACAACAAGATATACTAAAGAAAAAACTAAAAGGGAGTAAAGAAAAAGAGGGGACTAACTACAAAACTTAAACATAAACCAAAAGAAAAAAGAAAAAGATAACAAAAAGAAGAATAAAGAAAAAACAAAAAACATAAAGGCTCTATTTTTGTCTGTGCCAGGCTTTAAAAATTCTATATAATACTAAATAAAGAATATCCTACATTTGCTTTATCTTCATATTATAATATATTCCATTTATCACATGAGAAAAATGATCAAAGTTTTTATTTTCCTCTTGAGTTTGATATATGTTGTCTATCATAGGTCCGATACTCATCTCATAGTTTTTTCGTAACTAACATTACCAATTTGGAAAGGTAAACAATGTTGATCCTTTGGAGAGGGTATGCCAGATTTCCTACTTTTTGGTAAAAATTCCAAAAGAAAAATCCAGTAATAAGGGTAAAAAGAAGAGCCAACTTGAAAAGGAGTTGTAAGAGTTATACTATATAGAATATTATATTAAACCAAGTAACTATTTAGGTTTAAGCCCTTATAGCACTTGACAAAGCTTCAGAGCTTATCTACTACTTTTTTGCTTGATAGTACTCCTGTTTTACTAAGGGACTTCACTTACAAGAGTTTGAATCTTTTTCAACTCTTTTCAGTTACAACCAAACATGTAGTGAATAGCCTTCCTAGTTATCCAAAGTAGAATTTTGTTATATTTAAATATAATAACTGTATAGTTTTCATAGATCAGACTTTTGGAAAAAAGTTGGTGCAAGGGATTGTCAGAAAGAGTTTGTGTTATTCTTTTTGAGTATATTTTTGTTTTTTTTCCAAACTTTTAATTTAACTAGTTTAATAGGACTATAACCAGTTTATTAATATATCAGGTCATTCTGATATTCTTTTCTTCTAGTTCTCTTAGTTGAAATTCTGACAGCCTGGTTGGTAGTACCCTTACTTAGAGGTTTTTGCCTATCTGAATACTTCATATTGGTATCTGTTTCTTAGATCTAGCTTTTACAGTAATATCATTGAAGATTCATATTATCTCTCTACTTAGGTTTTTCCAAATAGGCTTCTTGTTCTTCAATTTTTACAGATTTATATAGCCATAAGAATTTATTTTGGGTTTATACTGCCTGATATCAGTTTGTATTCCTCTGTATAACCAGTTATATAGATGCTTTATAATCTGCCAGTTATGCTTTTTTTTATTTTTTTTTTTTCTCTTAAGCAGTCACACTAGTACTTTATTAAGATTCTTGCAACTATATTTAATAACTACATAAAATTTTCCTAATAACTAAGTTCAGCATCACCCGGCCACCTTATTGGTATCTAAGTGCGACCTGCTGCACTACCTCAATCAGAGGTAAACTGCTTATTTGGCTACTTAAAGCCATACCAGAAAGGATTTTCTGGAACAAGCATTAACTGTCTTCAATTCTTTCTTTAAATTCTTCCTTCTTCTTAAATAGCCGAAAAAAGAGAGGTATTATAAAATTGAATACAAATATGAAAATGACTAAAAAAACCAAAAGTAAACAAACAAAATCCTAATTAAAACAAAACAATAAAACAAACATGTAATAGTAAGAAAAAGAAAAAACAAAAAGAGAGCTGAAGCTCCAACCAGAGCAAATTGTAAAAATTATATAGTACTGCTACTCCTAGTTTCTATTCTAGAAATAGGTCTATACTATATATAAATATCATTTGATGATAAAGATGTCAGTGTTTAATTTCTTTCTCACTAGTTCTACAGCCGACCTTTTTACTCTGATTAAAGTTACTCCTAGTTCCAGAAAAGGAATGATTCTCCTATTCCCAAAATAGATGATTTTTGTAGATCTTTCATAGAAGGTATGCTAAATTCCCACTTCTTGTAAAAACTTCTGTCAAAAAACCAAGCAAGAAATATAATAGTAGTGTTCGGTTAGTAGGTATTCTTGAATTTCTAGTAAATGTGTTAAAAACTTGCTTATTGTCCTCTTATAAGGCCTACTATTTTAACTTTGTTAACAGAAGCTAAAACTTCTACTAAAATTTGTTATACAAGGTTGCCTCCTACTAGTTATCTTGTATATGCATGCTTTTAGTTTGCTTACTAAATATATAAAGGAGTCCAGTATAGAAGAACCACTTTGATCTTTATAAAAACTGTTATTTATATAGTAGCCTCTTCTGCTTTCTCCAATAAGTTTTCTGTTTTTGTTGCTATGAAATTTGGTACAAGTGATCATCGGAAAGAGTTGTATTGCCAGTGTACCAGTTATGCTAATATAATTATAATTATAGATATTTTAACTCAATTATTAGAAATAGTTGTTATAATATGAATATTACATAGATGATTATCTAAATTTTTACTGTCTGTGGGTTTTGAACTTACAATCTACTACTTGGAGAATTGACAACTTATCTACTTTACTAAGTTACCACATTCTTTCAAACCAAACTTATTATAACAAAATTATTACATCTTATCAAAATTGCAAGCACTAAACAAATTATTAATATATATATATATTATATTATTAATATTATTATAATTTTTATAATAGAATATTGCCTTGGGATGTGGTGACTTAGTAAAGTGGATAAGTTGTTAACTTCCCAAGTGGTAGGTTGTGAGTTCAAAACCTATTGATGGCAAAAATTTGAATAATCACCTATGTAATACATAGAGAGTATTATGGCGATAGCATTCTGTCAATCAGTTGAGATAGAATACCTGTAACTATGGTCACACCAGCATTACTGGCAGGTTACATAGCATCTGTGTAACCTTGGGTTCACAGAGGAATGCAAACCAATACCGGGCAGTGCAAACCTAAAATAAGTTCTTATGACTATGTAAATCTGTAGAACTGAGAAACTGAAGCCTATTTAAAAAGTCCTGAGTAGGGAGATAATACAGATTTTTGATAGTACCACTGTAAAGGCTAGACCTAGAAAACAGATACCAATGTGGAGGAGCCAGACAGGCAAGAACCTTAGATAAGGGATACTACCAACCAGACTGCCGAAACCAAACTGAAAGAAAAGAATATTGGGTTGGCTCGATATACTAAGAACAGATCACAGTTCTACTAAGCTATCTGGATTAGGAGTCTGGAGTTAAAGCAGGAGTATACTATAAATACTAGAGATATGCTATAAAGTAGGTGCTAGGATTTGGATAAACTCTACAAGAGCTAGCCTTGTTAATGTTTTGTAGAGTGGGTAGGTAGTTAACAAGAGGGTACCTCAGAACCTCACAGTCAGGTAACATATTCTGGAATGTTTAATGGCTTGACAGATGTACAAAAGGGAAAGCTAAATATTGGATTAGAAGACACTTAGTTGTATAGAAACCAAGTGTTACTTGTCTGGATATAGTATAAGGATCAGAATATTTAAATATATACCCTCCTAGTAGGTTACAGGCATGGCAGCTAGTATAGAACCTTTGGATGAACTACTTAAATAGGTAACCAAAAGTTACACATATGGCTAGTTGCATACTTATCTTGTACAAGTCATATGTAATGTATTGATTAAAAATACAAATAAAGGCAGTAGCTACTGATAATATCAGCTTTAATAAAATAAAATAAAATAAAATAAAAAGAATATTGCCTTTATAACATTGTTATTAACCAAAATATATGTAACAAAATTTTTACAAGTTATATAAGACTTGTAAAAAACAAAGCCAAACTTAGTTATACAATTCTTATTAGCATATTACTTCACTTTTAGCTATACA